CCAAAAGTGAAATTGTTCCATTGTATATTAATAGTATTTCTAATTTTTTGAGGAACTTCCATACTCTTTTCCATATGGGCTGTACCATTTTACATTCCCACCAACAAAGTGAGAACAGACAAGGTGTATGAAGGTTCCAATTTCTCCACATACTCTCCAACATTTGTTATATTTCATCTTTTTGATAATAGCCATTCTAACAGATGTGAGATGATATATCGTTGTGGTTTTAATTTGCTTTTCACTGATTAGTGATGTAGAGCATCTTTTTATATACCTGTTGGCCATTTGTATGACTTATTTGGAGAAATACATATTCAAGACTTTTGGCCATTTTCTAAACAGGTCATTAGTTTTGTTTTTGTTTTTTGAGTTTTGTTTGTTTCGCTATTAAATCAAAGGAGTCGCTTATATATTTTGGAGATTAACCCCTTAACAGATACATAGTTTGCAAATATTTTCTACTATTCCATAAGTTGCCTTTTCACTCTCTTAATTGTTTCCCTTACTGTGCAGAAGCTTTGTCTGTTTTTGCTTTTATTGCATGTGTTTTGGGGGTCATATCCAAAAAAATCATTTCCCGTATGTCTTCTTGTAGAAGTTTTATAATTACATTTAAGTATTTGATTCATTTTGAGTTGATTTTTGTGTATGATGTAAGATGAGGGTCCCATTTCACTCTTTTGCAAATGGATATTCAGTTTTCCCAATATCGTCTGTTAAAGAGACTATCCTTTTCCCATTGTGTATTTTCGGCACTTTTTTTGAAGATCAGACTGTTTATGTGTGGGTTTATTTCTGGGTTCTCTTTTCTGTTCCTTTGGACTATACATCTATCTTTATGTGAATACCATACTGTTTTACTTACTGTAGCTTTGTTATTGATATATATTTTGAAATCAAAAGGTGTGATCCCTCTATCTTTGCTTTTATTTTCCTCAAGATTGTTTTGGCTATTTGGGGTTCTTGTGAATTCATACGAATTTTAGAACTATTTATTTCTGGCTG